GCTTCCCCGAGACGTCATTCCCAAGAGCTCTGTGCGATGACCCCTCGTCTCATTACAGATTCTCTCCTGGTGCCGCCCACTCTGCCTCAGAACCCCCCACTCCAGGTGGCCGATCTCAGTGGTCACACAGGCTTTGCTTTCTCCCCACTGCTGATTAGGAAGAAGGTGGTGCCACTATTCTGCACGCCCCCCACTGCAGCTCCAGATAACTGAGCCTTCTCACTCCTTCCATTCTCGGCATGAAAAACAACATGGCACTTCTGCCTTCAGTGACTGTGCCTCCCATCCATACACCCCTGTCAGCCACCAAATCCTGTTCTCTCCCCAGTGAAGACCTCGGTCCCTCCTCTTCCCGACACCCCCCTCCTGCGATTCCAGACTCTTCCACCAACACCTTCATTCTTTCCCTCTCTGATGGTTCCTTTCCCCCAGCACGTAAATATGGGCAGATCTCTTCCAACTTTGAAAAAACACAAGAAACAGCTCTGGCCGGTGTGGCTCAGTTGCCTGAGTGTTGTCCCCATGCACCAAAAGGCTGCTGGTTCAATGTTCAGTCAGGACACATGCCCAGGGTTGCGGGCTCCTTTCCAGCTAGGGACTATGAAATAAGCAGCTGACAGATGTTTCACTCTCACATTGATGTTCTCTCTTACTCTCCCTCCTTTCTCTCTAAAAATCAATAAAAAGACTTAAAAAAGAAAAGAAAAACACAAGAAACAAACCAGCTACCTTCTGGCTCTTTCCATTCTCCCTTCCATTGAGGGCTAGGCTTGGTCTATATTGTCAACTTTCCCTTCCCATCTTCCATTTACAATTTAACTACTTTCTCTCAGTGGAGCCCCTCAAACTTTTCTAATGAAGGACATCATGACTTTTTATTTGCTTAAACAAAAGATCCTTTTCAGCCTCTATTTCTTGCATTTTCTGTTCCATTTGCCTTTACTGGCCATGCCCTAATTTTTTTTAATGTTTTTTATGATATGTATTTTTATGTTTTTGTGGTTTTTAATATGGCTTTTTTTAATTTTTAAAATTTTATATCATTTTTCCCATCACCATTATCCCCCCTATGCCCTAATCTTTAATTATTAATTTTTTTAAGTAGGGGAGAGTGCAAACACAGCCCTCATTACCACATACGGGGAAATCGCAGGGATCAGTACATCCAGAGTGCAAGGTAAATGTGTATGCCCTAATCCTGAAACTCCCTTTTCCCTTGGTCTCAGGCCCCACATGCTCATGACTCCCTTCCCAGGCCCTGGCTGCTTTTTCTCAATGAGCACTGGTGATCCCCAGAAACCAATCCGTGGCCCAATTCTGCATGTGACCAGTATGACCAACAGCCCTGACATTGGACAGCCCCCTTCCCAGAACAGAGACGTACTCACATAAACAGCTTCTTCTCAACCACGAAGAGCTCCACGGATGACATACTGCTGAAACACTGGTTGGTCGTCAGGAAGAAGAGCACCCCAGCTCTGTGATGAGAGAAGGGGAACAAAATACTGCAGTCAATTAAACATTCTTAGATCAATTCCTACCTGCTAAACTCTTTCCTCAAATGATATCTTAGGACATTAAACAACTGTTCAGGTTAAAATAGTGAGGGAAGGGAAATGTGAGTCCCCACAGGTCTCTCCACAGTGATGCTCCTGGGACTCCATAGAGCACAGTTTGAAATTCACAGTCCTGTGTTGCCATGGATTGAATTGTGCTCTCCCTATGTTGTAACCCTCCCCCTCAAAGTGATATTTAGAGGTGGCATCATTAGAAGGGAATTAAGTTTTAATGGGGGTGGGGAGGCTCATGAGGGAATTAGTGCCCTTAGAAGAAAAGTGAGAGACATCAAAGCTCTCTCTGTGCTATTCAAGGACACAGCAGGAAGGCAGAAGACATATTTTCATCAAAACCAAACATGTTGGCACCCAAATCTTCAGAGTTGTAAGAAATAAATTTCCGTTGTGTAACCCACCCAGTCTGTGGTTCTTTGTTACAAAAGCCAAGGTGATGATTACACAGGTCATAAAAATGCTACTAACTTTAATTTTAACTAACAAGAACACAAGTACCATTCCCAATGTATGAACAGAGAAACACCCAAATAAAACCTGCAAAAGTTTAAGTTTTATTAACCACTTTGTCAAAGTTGAGTTAAAAAGAAATTAAGACATGAGGAGACAAAGTGAAAGAGTGGAGGGAAACCGTTATTGATACCTAATTATATATATTCACCACACAGTCATCAGAAGAACCTTCATATTTTCCTGGACATCCCACTGCCAACATGGTTTCCAATGTACTCAAAATGAAAGCCAATCACCCAGCCGGGTGTGGCTCAGTGGTTGAGCGTCAACCCAGGAACCAAGTGGTCAGAGTTTGATTCTCAGTGAGGGCACATTTCTGGGTGGCAGGATTGATCCCAGTAGGGGCATGCAGGAGGCAGCTGATTAATGATGTTTCTCTCTCACCGATGTTTCTATCTCCCTATCCCTCTCCCTCCTCTCTCTATAAAAATCAATAAAACATACTAAAAAAAAGAAAAAGGCAACCAGAACCCCTTGACTACATGTGAAACAGAGGAAATTTTTCTTAAAAAATGAAAGCAGCCCAACTGGCCGTGGCTCGGCGATTGAGCGTTGACATAGGATCCAGGCGATTGGGGTTCAATTCCTGGTCAGGGCACATTCCAGGTTGTGGACTCGATCCCCAGTGAGGGGTGTGCGGGGGGCAGCTGATTAATGGCTCTCTCATCATTGATGTTTCTCTCTCTATCCCTCTCCCTTCCTCTCTCTGAAATCAATAAAGATATATTAAAAAAAAAAAGCAAATCATGCTTATAAAGGAAAAATTAATTTGTGCACATATAAAAAAGGAAGACTATTAATGCTTCTCTATCAATAAAATAATTAAGGTTTAAAAAGGAAAGTACTCATTTCATCTGTACTTTGATAGAAGTATAAATTTTATGAAAACATCCCCGTAGCAGTGTTGGGTTTCCCTGCACAACCAAACCATTTAATTGAAATTGAGGATGTGAGTAGAAACCAAAAGAGATGAAGTTGTGCATTATTTAAATGACAAAATTAAGAGAGCATTTTAAAAAATGTAACCCTGAGTGTACAACCCAAAAAACAAAGGGCCCATACACACTAAGGAATTGTTTTTAACACAAATAATAAGAATAAAAAATTAATTTAAAAATGTAGGCAACAGGCTGTATTAAAAGTAAATGTTTAAAAAAGAGAGAAGCAAATAAAAAATTTTTAAGAAAAAAAAGTAAATATTTATACAATAATGAATAACTGAAAAATAGCCAGGCACGGCATACAAGCAGATACACACCTTGATAGATACCAAAAAAAAGCCTAATATCAAAGTATTAGCTAATTTCTGAAACATGGAATATGGCAACATTCAGCTCAATTTATTGTCTTACATTTAACAGAACAATAACGTTCATAAGGATTTAAAACTAGTAGATATTGAAATTCTTTTTAAATTATAAAAATTTATTTTATAATACTAAGTACTTCTTGTTAAAGAATTTTAATATATTCTAATTCTTTTCAAGCTAGTAGGCCATGTAACAGTTTGAAAAATCTGAATCCCATCTACTTCCCCATTGCAAACAAATAAAAAAAATAGAAAGGAAATTAACTCACAGGGAATAAAAGAAAAAAATAGATAAACTGGACTATGTCTACCAAAGAACACTTTCAACAGAGTGAAAAGACAACCCACAGAATGGCAGAAAATATGTTAATTTGTATCTGATAAGTGGTTAATATTGAAAATATTAAAGAACTCTTACAGCTCAACAATATCCAATTAAAAATGGGCAAAGAACTTGAAGAGACATTTCTCCAGAGAAGACATTCAAAAGGCCAAGAACCACATGAAAAGATGCTCAGCATCACTAATCACTAGGGAAATACAATTCAAGACCACAGAGATACCAATTCACTATTATAATGAAAAAGAGTGAGTGGTGCCCAGGTTGGGGAGAAACTGAACCCTTGTGCACAGCTGGTAGAAATGCTGCTGTAGGAAAACAGGATGGGAGTTCCTCAAAAAAATTAATAGAATTACCAAATGATCCAGTAACTCCACTTCTAGGTGTATATCCAAAAGAATTTCAAGCAGAGACACAAACAGATAGTTACCCGTACACCCATGCTCACAGCAGCATCAGTCACAACAGCCAAACGGCAGAAACAGCCCATGTCTCCATGGACAGATAAAGGAGTGAACAAAATGTAGTGAGTAAAACAAATCAACAAAATGTTACAAAGGAATATTATTCAGCCTGTAAGAGGAAGACATTATGACACATGCTACACATGGATGAGCCTTGAAGACATTATGCTAAGGAAAACAAGCCAGTCACCCAAGGACAAATGCTGTATGGTCCACGTGTATGAGGGGCCTACAGAAGTCAAACTCAGAGCCAGGAAGCATCACGGTGGTTTCCAGGGGCTGGGGAAAGGGGGACAGGGAGCAATTGTTCGATGGGCACAGAGACTCACTTTGGGAATAAGTGTCCTGGAGTTGGATGGTGGTGACTGCACAACAATGTGAGTGTCACTAATGCCACTGAAGCGCACAGCTAAACCTGGACAGGAGGGTACATGTTATGTTCTGTGTATTTTACCACCATATATATAAGAAAATAACATTTCCATGCAGCTTTCAATTCACTAATTTATCCTGCTCTTCACTTTGTCCTGTACTTGTCTGAAATTCAAATTTGTAATAAAAGTTCATAACCTTGAACAAAGTAACAGTACTTTCTTAAAGTCAAGGTCCAAATGTGCTTACCTATTCTGGATTCCCGTAGAGTCATTTTTTAGGCCATAGAAAATGGCACCTATAACCAGTCCCAGGATAACTGTTACAATTATCTTTTCAAAAAAAAAAAAAAGAGTTTTAGTTAAAGGTAAAAACTTAACATACCATTTATTATTTTAATATAGATAGCTATAATCAAATCTCTCTATTGAAATACATCATTTAAATGGCTTGGCCAAAGTATTAATATTGGAAAAATATAAAACAGTGTATGCTATTAGACTGCCTTCTAAATTGAAATAAAAATAATTTATCAGTGTGTTGGGGAGACTGAAGGAGAACAAAGTAGAAGTAGAACAAAGTGGAAAAGCTAGATTCCTCCAGGGGCTGCCCAGGCACTGCCAGTTCAGAGTCCAGCTTGGGCTGCCAACCTGGGGATGCCACAGAGAGCAGGGGAACAGTGCTGGCATCAAGCAAAGTTGTTGGGGGAGGAAAATAAAATTCAAGTGGCTAAGAGCTCTGTCCTGAACTCTCAACCTTTGTACGAGTGAGCATGCATCATTTTATAATACTTTAGGAGGGTCAAGTGACAGCAGGATAGCTTTACTCTTAACATTAAAAATAAATACAATTTTAAAAGCACAATAAAACTTATAACACTTGAATTTTGCACGATAAGGAAGTAGGGGTAACATCATTTTGTTTTTAATATTGATGTGTCTTATAGACACACCCAAAAAGTTAAGGATATAATTTATTAAATGTTTAAGAAAATTCTATTTATTGTACTTTTAAGTTGTATTAAATATAAAAATATGAGAAACAGTAATCGAAGAAAAATAAAACATCCCACCATGTACCTTTGCACCTTCGATGTAAAAAAACAAAAACAAATCTCAGTACTACAACTGTGCAATGGTATCAGATTTGAAGTAACTTGTCAAGCGCTCTTTAGACATGAGCAAACCAAGTTGGAAAGCAGGACCATGATCTGTGAAGGCTGCTTTATGAAAACCACAGTCTGGAAACATGATTTGAGATGGCCTTAAAAATTCCTTTGCTAATAAGACAGTAAGCAATTTTACAAAAACATCTATTACCCTTGCATATTTTAATTACCCTCAGAAAATACTGTGCTTCATATTGACAGATCAAGCTTCTGAGTGAGTGATGATGCCTCCATCAACATGTATACAAGTCTGTGTTTCACACAGTACAATGTTAAGAATATTCTGACTTTTAAACTGGACACTCCCCATGCTTTGTTTCTTTTGCATGCAAACTTGGTATTTTAAACTAACAGAGTATTGGTATTATCATAGGATGTTTCCTAAAGATTTCAAAGTTCTAAAAATATTTTCAAAGTCAGCTTTCAAACATATTGGTAAAATGATTGATCCTGCAATATTTTTATGCTTTTACAAGGTGTACCTATGTTATTCTTTCTTCTATTAAAAAAACAACAACAGCCCAGCCGGGTGTGGCTCAGCAGTTGAGCGTCGACCTAGGATCCAGGCGATTGGGGTTCGATTCCCGGTCAGGGCACATGCCCGGTTGCGGGCTTGATCAATGACTCTCTCATCATTGATGTTTCTATCTCTCTCTCTCCCTCTCCTTTCCTCTCTCTGAAATCAATAAAGATATATTTAAAAATAAAAAAATAAAAATAAAAAAACAACAACAGACAATCACTGTGCAATGGAGTAGACAAGAGGACCCTACCCATGTATCTGTGTATCTGGCTTCCGGTCTGAACAGAAAAAGAAAGCAAAAAATTCCCTAAATATGTGATTGCATCTTTGTTCATATGTGCTTACGAACATTTCTCGAGGTGAGTTCTGAGGGATGTTTATGGCCATCACTACAAAAATTAATCCATACTCAAATGTTTACCATGCTAATAGAAACAATGAATCTCCAAGATATATAAAAATGTTTTCCAAATTGATTTGATCAGAATACACATAGCACTTTCAGTGAACATTAAATCTTCTTATACAGATAATCTATTCCATCTAAGATCTTCCAAATACAATCTCTGGTAAAATGCATTATCAGAGGCAAATTCTGACTCATATAAATGACTAATTCAAACCTAAGTACAGCTGTAAGACTACAGATACAAGATTTATCAGCAGAAAGCCATAAAACGTTTTTATAGCTAAACATTCAAATACTTCAAGAAGCAAATGACATACAGGCAAGATTAAAAACCCAAAAACGGTGGTCAATAAGCTATGGCCCTCAGGCCAAACAGGACACTTCACCTATTTTTCAGTCTACAAGATAACTGATTTTTACCTTTTTTTTTAATGATTGAAAAAAAGAGAGAAATTTATATGATATTCAAATACTAACAGATTATTTGAAACTTATATGAAATTCTGATTTCAGTGTCCATGAATAGTTTAATTGGAGCACAGCCATGCACATTTTTTTACATATTAATATGATTGCTTTCTCCCTAAAATGGCAGTTGACTACATGACGCAAAGACCACACGGCGTGCAAAGCCTAAAATATGCCCTATCTGGCCCTTTATAAAACAGGTTTGCCTACTCCTACCCTAAGCTAATATTCCATAAATCTGAGCAAGAGCTGTAACACCCCCGCCAATCAGATGCTCAGAGATACAAGGTTGTCTTGTTCTATGAGATTGCCAGGGCTCTGATCATTGCTGGAATTGTGTTCACTGAGGAAGCAAATAGGTTGCACATGTGACCTGGGGGTACTAGCCTTGGGTTTGCACCTGAAGGGAGTCTAGCACCAAAAGATACAGAATGGTGGTGTAGTAGAAATAGTTTCACACTCCAATCACACTCTGCCCAGAACTATAATGTGTGTGACTTGGATAAGACACCTAAAAAACACTTTTACGGGCAAGAGATATTGAAGTTATTTTCCAAGTAAAAAAAGGTGATGCATAAATCACACTGAAGAATGAACTCCACCCATTACATCGTCTCGCTGTTGAGCAATGGGTAACCAGACTGACCCGATGCACCAGACTTGTTTCCAAATGACATCAAATCCACTCTAAAAGTATAGAAATTTACTCTTGGTTGACAGTGTACAAAAGTGCTCATGTTCTGACAGAACTGCCAAATAACAAGTGCCAAACATGTCTGGCACAATTAGGAGAACACCTCAGATAGGGATCTAGGCTCTTAGTATTAATACTCAGAGGGCAATAGTACTAAAGTATGAAAATTATGGTGCGCATGGTAGGAAGTCAGCAATGGTTCATTAGAGCCAACTACGTACCATCTTTTAGCAGTCAACAGAAATTCCATGATCGATGATAATATTAGCCACCCCAAAAGTAACTGGCTAATATCCTTAGAAATGATCACAAACAAAGTGGAAATACTAGGATTTTATACGACAGAGAGCTTGAGAATAACAGAAAATCACAAAGTAGCGACAATCAACAACTATCAACGGACCAGCCCAAAGGAGAAAGAGCATTATTTCATCTCAATGAAGAGCAGTTTAATGTGACAGTGAACAGCCTTATTTAAGGGAAGTGGAGTCTGCTCATTACCTTTGTGTCCACGGCACATTGACTGAGGTGCCCACTGCTCTCCTGGATTAGAGCCCTAAGTGCACGAAGGTCCCTGATGAGGAGCAGCCCCGGGACACAGGCTCTGCCCGCAGACAGTGGCGGCCCCTCCCAGGTTCAGGTCACTCACTGACATCCAGCGAAGGCCTCCCTGACCACCCGATTTAAAATGCAACCAACCCTCCTTTCCCCCCCACTTTCCATTTCCTTCCCTTCTCTCTCTCTTCCTTTCTCCTCTAACCTGCTTAAACTTTCTCCATGGCCCATTTCTCCTTCTATCACACTATATACAGGGTGTCTCCAAAGATATATACACACTTTAACAGCTGATAGCTCCATTTTGAAAATGAAATGTATTTTAATAAACATTGCCTTTAAAATAATTCAAAGTATGTGTATACATTTTTGGGGACACCCTAATTTAACAGCTGTCTCTCCTCAAAAGAAAGTATGCTCCAGGAGAGCAAGAATTTCTATTTTTACCAATTTTGTTCACTGCTATGTACAAGCTCCCAAATGCTCCAAATGATCAATAGGAACTTGTTGAATAAATTAGCAAATGAACATGTGCAGCTACCAGAAAACCACAAATGGGATTAAATGATTCCTGTATTTCACCATTTTTGAAAAGTATTTTCTCTTCAAAGATGATCTATTACAGCCCAGTCCCAGCTGCTCAGTGGTTGGGCGTCCACCTAGGTCATGGTTTGATTTCCAAGCAGGGCACATGCCTCAGTTGCAGGATCCATCTCCAGGAGGGGGTGTGCAAGATGCAGCGCATCAATGCCTCTCATTATTGTTTTATCGCTCTCTCCTTCTCCCTTCCTCTCTCTGCAACCAATAAAAATATATTTTTAAAAAATGAAAAAAGAGAAAAAAAAGATGAACTATTATATCCTGTCTAAATCAATAAAAATTCTGCATTAGGTAGTCCAAAAGAACTTAAATTTTTTTCCTATATGTAAAATTTAATCGTGTCTTATTTGTTCTATTGACTGTTTCTATATCCCAAATAGAAAGAGGATAAATAAGTGGAAGGGTGGGTAGAAGATAACCATAATCCTAAAATAGATTGTATCAGAATTTAATGATTTCACATGAGTATTTCACAGCATAATTACAAGAATTTGTCAGGTTACCTGAGCTACAGAGGCCTGGGGATTACCCAATAAGTTTTTGAAGGAACGCTTGGAAATCCATTTGACCTGATGACAGAAGGAGGTGGCATAGGCGATCTGCTTGAAGGCTGAGCTCTTCCTTTTCTCAACTCCTGAGAATTGATCTAACTCAGCTTTCACTTCTCTGTAGAAGGTGGAGTTGACATAAAACTCAGCTAATGTTTCTATGAGTGGCTTCTCTCTCTTGGAAGGCTCTTCAGTCTCCTTGGCTTTGGAATAAAAGTGGACAGAGGGAAACATTAACAAAATCATTGATTTCGCCCATTTTTCTGGAACCTTTCTTAGATTCTTCCCTAACACCTAAATTCTAAAGCTTGAGTACAGAAAATTATTACATCTGTCATTGCTTTACACATCAGAAAAATATAATTAATTGTCCTGACTACTTCTATGCACTTATGGATACAGAAAACCCACTGACCTTTCCCAAACTATATTTGTATCCTGATTCTTTCTAAATAAACTTACCATAGGACCCCAGATGGGTGGCTTGGTTGGGTGGAGTGTCGTCCTGTACAACAAAAAGGTTAAGGGTTCAATTCCCAGTCAGGGCACATACCTGGGTTAGAGGTTCAATCCCCAGTCAGAGTACATATGGAAAGGAAACCAATAGATGTTTCTCTCTCACACTGTCTCTCTCTCTCTCCTTCTCCATTCCCCTCTCTCTAAAATTAATAAGCATGGCGTCAGGTAAGGATTAAATTTAAAAAATAAATAAAATATACAGGGAGAAAGGGAGAGAGAAACATCAATGTGAGAGAGAAACATTGATTGGTGCCTCCCATATGCACCCTGATAGGGGTTTGAACCCACAACCTACATATGTGCCATGACTGGGAATCCAACCTGCCACCTTTCAGTGTACAGTACCTGATGCTCCAACCAACAGAGCCACAACAGCCAGGACATAAGTTGTAATTCCTAATAGAAAAACCTCATCCTTGCTTTCTACTAAGTACAAATGCATACATTGCTGTTTCTTATTTCAAAACACTATATAAACCATGAGCATATTTTTATTATTTTATGTTTTATTATTATTTTCTTAATCTTCAAAAGAATCACGAGGATATTTTTTTCCATTGATTTTTAGAGACAGTGGAAAGGATGGAGGGAGGGGGGATGAGAGAGAGAGGGAAAGAGAGAGAAACATCAATGTGAGAAAGACACACTGGCTGGTTGCCTCCTGTATGGACCCCAACCAGGGCTGAGAATTGAACCTGCAACCCAGGTACGTTCCCTTGACTGGAAATTGAATCTGAGACTCTTTGGTGCTCGGGCCAATGCTCTAACCACTGAATACACCGGCAAGGGCACCATGAGCATATTTTTTAAGGGAAATTCCCCTTAGAACTGTCACTATCATATAAATGATCATTTATAAATTAAATAAAAATACAGCACTTATGGAGAACAAAATCTGTGCTGACTGGTGCTATAGACTGAATGCTTATGTCCCCCCCAAATTTATATGCTGAAACCCAATCCCCAATGTGATGGTATATGAAGGTAGGGACTTCGGGGAGTGATTAGATTGTGAAGGTGGAGCCCTTGTGAGTGAGGTTAGTGCCCTTATAAAAGAGGCCCCAGGAGCCCCCTCCCCACTTCCACCATGTGTGGGACCAACAAGGAGATGGTGGTCTACCAGGAAGCGGGGCCTCAACAGATACAACTGGTATTAGTTATATAAATTCACAAAGCTACATTTTAATCAGCTGCCACACTGCTGAACTTCAGGCAATTCAATTAGGGGATAATCTGTGACTCTGGACAGATGCACATACCTTCATCACCTTCCTCCTCTCTGTTTAATACCACAGCAGAGGAGTCTCCATTAATGACATCCAGGAAGAAGTCTGCGGGGTTGTTATAGGGCTCACAGTGGTGACCTACAGAAGAAAACACAGGTACACAAACACGATGGTCTTAGGAAATAAAGACTCACTTTCGGGGAATGCAGGAGGTGAAGCTGGGAGAGACAGAATCTAATGGCTTCCCCCTCTCTCCTTTCTCTCTTCTCTCCTCATTAGTTTTCTCTTTCTTTTTATGTATTTAGTCATACAATATGCCAACAATTCTATCTCCTGGCAAAAATCATACTCCAAACCAACCTTGAACTCTCAGAAAGCCTTGCCCAATGTAATTCATGAGACCTGAAACAAATACCAATATGTCCTGGTGCTTAGCAGTATGTATTCAAAAAAATAGATATTGGTACAAGAAAAATAGAAGTTGAAAAAGAAAAAAGAAAAAAGCTGTAGGTAGAACTAATGCTCCTCAAAGCAAGGTAACCAGCAAAGCCAGCCCGGGGTGTGTCCTATTCTCTGGGTTCACCTACGGACTGCCAGAATGCCAGCACCCACTTTAGCAACAGGTTGCTTCTCCACCTAGTAAATTCAGGTCCAGATTATCATCTCTTATGCTGCTATAATCCCAGCATAGAGAACAAATCACCAGAGCAGCTTTCTCAAGAAAAGGTGACCAACATAACACACCTGAATGCTTTACCTTCCCTCACTTCTTGTGCCTGATTATTTAAACTCAATTTGGCCTGTAGTCTTCTCTTAGATTCATCTTCTCTAGACTCCTCAGACACATGTATGTTAAATGATAGAGAATGAACAAAAACAAATTTTCAAAGATAGCTAGAAAATATTTAAAATTATATTTGGGGTCATGGAGCATCACCTATAATAATATCTATATATCTCTAAAATAAAGACTGCATGAGTCATTCAAAAATTAGGACTTTTCATCTGAAATACAACCAGGCAGCCCAGAGCTGTCAGAAATGTTGGCCCATTGAAGTCAGACTCAGGAGTAGCCATTCTATTGACTGGTAAGTCACTCATATCCACTCAAGGATGAAATCTTCAATCAAATGCTACTACAAAATCAATCAGCATCTCCATGAAACCTCATCAAGGCAAACCCATGCAATGGAAAAATGACATAGCCTGATCTGTTATATGGTCAAGAAGACAAATGATTTCAAAAATAAATAAAATTTAAAAATAAATAAATAATTAAAATTAAAAAACAAACAAAAAATTCAGTTAAAAAAAAGAAGACAAACTATTTGGGGGAATGAGGAGGTGTGGAGGTGAAGGGCAGTATTAGGCCCTTCAAAATGTTCAGTTAGACTAATAACTGATTATAAGGCCAATATATTTATTGAACTATTAGGAAAAGGGCACTAGAGTTAAGAGAAGAACAGTACAGGCCAGTAGAAACAGTCCTACGCATACATAGAGTATGCATGCACATTCAAACAGGGCAAGAAAGTGATCTAAACAACAAGCCAGTGCTGCAAAATGAAGACAAATTCTAGCACCAAACTGACCGAAGACGGTCTGGAGTGGTGGAGCCCATGTTCTCTCTACTCAAAGATCAAGCAGTATCCCGTCTACCTCCTCTGCCCTCTTTCAGGATTCTATGAATGAAGGATCTCACTGCATGAAAAGGCAACCATACCAGCTGATGCAAAGTATCCCAAGGCCTCCTGAGCAGGCCCATGGAACATTAGTCTTCCTGAGGCCAATAAGGTGAGGCTATCAAACAACTTGAAGATGGAAAAACGAGGTTGATGAATGGAGAAGATGATGGTTCGTCCCTGTTTAGACATCCTAAGGTAAAAGTGAGAAAATAATGAGTCATTAAACATCTGAATTTTGCACTTCTTAGCAAAAAACTTTATTCCTGCCTTTAGCACATTTATTCCTGAAGCAATTGCCCCACCCTGCTGGAGAGTCTCTCTCCCTGCCCAGAGGAGTTTCTATAGCTTGAAGCTTGTTAAGAGACTGACAACAACCAGCTCCCCCACCTTGTGGAGCTTCTACAGCCTGAGGCTCATTAAGAGAATCAAATTAACAAGTCTGCAGACTGAGGCAGACCTCAGGGTGCTTTGAGTCTTTGCCTGATCTGTTTTGGGACCCGGGCCTTAGAAAAGAAGACTTTGGTGCGCATCTTGGCCCTGTCCAAATGCATCTAGCTCCAGCAGTGGAGACCTCAAGTCTGGAGTTGTTGACAGCCCCAAACAGGGTACTCAGGGCCAGTCACAAACTGCATCTGACATTGGCCTGTACCAGAGACCCTCCAAAAAGACTGAGAACCCTAGCAGGTCTACCTAACATTTAGCCAAAATGGGAAGACCAAAATACAAGCCCCAAATGAAAGAACAAGAGAAGTCTCCAGAAAAAGAGCCAAATGAAACAGAGATAAGCAACCTCTCNTTCCTGGAAACAAATGAAAATGAACACACAACAACTCCAAATCTATGGGACACAATGAAAGCAGTCCTGAGAGGGAAGTTCATAGCACTACAAGCCTACCTCAAAAAACAAGAAAAACTTCTAATAGACTCTCTAATCCTACAACTTAAAAATTTAGAAAGGGAACAATAAGAAAAGCCCAGAGTAAGTAAAAGGAAAGAAATAATAAAGATTAGAGCAGAAATAAATGACATAAAGACTAAAAAAAAATACATAAGATCAATGAAACCACCAAGGCNGAGGATCAAATCAGTGAATTAGAAGACAGGGTAGAAAAAAATCACTCAATTAGAGACTCAAAAACAAAAAACAATTAAAAACCAGGAGGACAGTCTAAGGAAGCTGTANAAAAAAAATACATAAGATCAATGAAACCACCAAGGCCTGGTTCTTTGAAAAGATAAACAAGATTGATAAACCTTTAGCCAGACTCAACAANTTATAGGAGTGCCAGAGGAGGTTGAAAGTAAGCAGGGGTTAAAGAACCTGTTTGATGAAATAATGGCAGAAAACTTCCCTAACCTGGTCAAGGAAAAAAGCACACAGGTTCTAGAAGCACAGAGAGTGCCAAGCAAGAAGAATCCAAAGAGACCCACGCCCAAACACATCATAATTAAAATGTCAAAAATCCAAGACAAAGAGAGAATCTTAAAGGAAGCTAGAGAAAAGCAAGCTGTTATCTACAAAGGAACTCCCATAAGGCTGTCATCTGGNAAGCAGTAATCAAAGGGCTCCAAGCACACAAAAGCCCTGGCCCAGATGGCGTCACAGGGGAGCTTTACCAAACATTCAACGAAGAATTAATACCTATCCTCCTCAAACTATTTCAAAAAACCTNGAAACTCTACAGGCCAGAAGAGAATGGCATGAAGTATTCAAGGTAATGCAGAAGAAGGATCTGAAACCAAGTCTACTCTATCCAGGAAGATTATCAATCAAGCTGGATGGTGAAATAAAGAACTTATCNTAGCCTGATTCCAAAACCAGATAAAGACACTACAGAGAAAGAAAATTACAGGCCAGTACCCCTGATGAACATAGATGCTAAAATCCTCAACAAAATATTAGCAAATCGGATCCAGCAATATATTAAAAAGATCATACACCATGACCAAGTGAGATTTATTCCAGGCGTGCAAGGCTGGTACAATATTCACAAGTCATAAACGTGATACATCACATAAACAAACTGAAAAAANAGAGAATGAGAAACAGCTATAAAGAAACAAAATGCCAGTGGATAAGTATCCTTCAATAATAACCTTAAATGTAAATGTATTAAATGCCCCAATAAAAAGACATAGGGTGGCTGAATGGATAAGAAAATATGACGNAAAAAAAAAAATCACATGATCATATCAATAGATGCAGAAAAAGCATTCAATAAAATCCAACACCCATTTCTAATAAAAACTCTCAGCAAAGTGGGAATAGAGGGACCATACCTCAACATAATAAAGGCCATATATGACAAACCTACATCATACTCAATGGGCAAAAGCGAAAAACATTTCCCCTAAGAACAGGAACAAGACGGGGTGTCCAATTTCACCACTCTTATTCAACATAGTACTGGAACTCCTAGCCACAGCAACTAGACAAGAAGAAAACATAAAAGGCATCCAAATTGGAAAGGAGGAAACAAAACGGNTATAGAAGCACCTAAATTTATTAAAAAAAAACTTCTAGAGGACTTTAAGGAAGAGATCGACAGCAATACAATCATACTCGGGGACTTTAACACCCCATTGACTTCACTGGATATGTGNAACTCCTAGCCACAGCAACTAGACAAGAAGAAAACATAAAAGGCATCCAAATTGGAAAGGAGGAAACAAAACGGTCATTATTTGCAGATGACATGATATTGTACAGAGAGAATCCTAAAGACTCCACCAAAAACCTATTAGATTTAATAAATGAATTCAGCAAGGTAGCATGATACAAAATTAACACCCAGAAATTGATGGCATTTTTATATACCAATAATGAACTCTCAGAAACAGAAACTAAAAAAACAATCCCATTTACCATTGCAACTAAAAAAATAAGATACCTAGGAATAAACTTAATCAAAGATGTGAAAGATCTTTACTCAGAAAACTACAGGACACTGAAAAAGAAAATAGAGGAAGATATAAAATGGAAAAGTATACCATGTTCATGGATTAGAAGAATTAACATCATTAAAATGTCCATATTACCCAAAGCAATCTATAAATTCAATGCAATCCCTATTAAAATACCAACAGCATATTTCACTGATCTAGAAAAAACACTTCAAAAATTTATATGGAACCAAAAAACACCCCGAATAGCCATGGCAATCCTGAGAAAGAAGAACAAAGTTGGAGGGATCACAATACCAGATATCAAGTTATACTACAAAGCCACTGTAATCAAAACAGCCTGGTACTGGCACAAGAACAGACATATTGATCAGTGGAACAGGACAGAGAACCCAGAAACTGGTCCATACCATTATGGTCAATTAATATTTGATAAAGGAGGCAAGAACATACAATGGAATAAAGATAGTCTTTTCAATAAATGGTGTTGGGAAAATTAGACAGATACATGCAAAAAAATGAAACTAGACCACCAACTTACACCATACACAAAAGTAAATTCAAAATGGATAAAAGACTTAAATGTAAGGCATGAAACCATAAAAATCCTAGAGGAAAACACAGGCAGTAAAATCTCAGACATCTCTCGTAGCAATATGTTTGCTGATACATCTCCTAGGGCAAAAGAAACTAAGGAAAAAATAAACAAATGGGACTACATCAAAATAAAAAGCTTCTACACAGCAAAGGAAGCCATCGACAAAGTAAAAACGGAGCCCACTGTATGGGAGAACATATTTGCCAATGACACATCAGATAAAGGGTTAATATCCACAATATATAAGGAACTTATGTAACTTAACAAAAGACAAACAATCCAATTAAAAAATGGGCAATGGACCTAAATAGACACTTCTCCAAAGAGGACATACAAATGGCTAAGAGACATATGAAAAAATGCTCAATGTCACTAATCATCAGAGCGATGCAAATTAAAACCACAATGAGGTATCACTGCACACCTGTCAGAATGGCTACTATCAACAAGTCAACGAACTACAAGTGCTGGAGAAGGTGTCGAGGAAAGGGCACCTTAGTACACTGCTGGTGGGGATGCAGACTGGTGCAGTCACTATGGAAAGCAGGATGGAGTTTCCTCAAAAGATTAAAAATTGACCTGCCATTTGACCCAGTGATCCCACTTCTGGGAATATACCCTAAGGAACCCCAAACACCATTTGCAAAGAACTTATGCACCCCCACGTTCATAGCACAATTCACAATAGCTAAGATTTGGAAACAGCCCAACTGCCCATCAGTAGATGAGTGGATAAAAAAGCTGTGGCGCATTTACACCCTGGAGTACTATGTGGTTGTGAAGAAGAAGGACCTTTTTGCCTTTGGCACAGCATGGAGGGAACTAGAGAGTATTATGCTAAGTAAAAGGAGCCAGTCAGAGAAGAAGTACCAAATGATCTCACTTACATGTGGAATAAACAAAATAAACTGATGAACAACATGGATCCAGAGACATAGAAGCTTGGAACAAACTGAGGGATCTTAGAGGGAAGGTGGGGAGGGGTGTGTGTGTGGGGAGAGATTAATCAGGGAACTTGTATGTTTATGGTCGTGGACATTGGTGTGGGGAGGGCCTGGGGGTGGGATGGATGTGGGGTGGAGGGGATCAGTGGGGTTAAAAGGGGGACATCTGTAATGGTCTCAACAATAAAGTCAATTAAATAAATAAATAAATAAATAAAGTGATCAGATAATAAAATAAGGTTTATTGAATATAAAAAAATAAAGGGTAGGACACAAAAATTAATGCATTTAAATTTTCAAACACTTAATGGTTGAGTAATTGGGCTGTTGTTGAGATTCCAGTCTTCAAAGGTGGTGATTCAGTCTTCAACAAAAAATGAAGACTTATCAACGGATACCATAGTAATTTTTCCATGTTTCCCAAAGTTCAAAGACCAATAGCAGTTCTCATGTGGAGACTTAGCTGTACTCCAATTAACTGTTCTCTTCTTCTTCTTAATGTTAACCTCATCCAAATTTTTTTGGATACCTGCTCACCTGGAATACTTCAGCTTTCCAGCCTCCTTTACAGCTAGATGTGTCTATGGGCCTAAGTTTACACAATGGGATATAAACAGAGTCAAATGAAAATTTCCAAATGCCTTTTTTAAGAGGCATATACAGATGATATGTTGTGGGATTGTGCACTTGAAACCTATATAATTTTGTTAACCACTGTCACCCCAATAAATTCAATAAAAAGAAAAAAAAGAGCGAGCTAATGCCCACCTTTTACCCTGTTTTCATCTGGAACGCTGATGTGACGACAGAAGCCGGACTAACCATTCTAGACTTATGATGATGATAAGAATGAAAGATACAAATAGTACAAATAAGCATCCTGGTGTCCTACCAGTCCCGAAACTCTAGACCTTTATGTGAAAATAAATATATTTCCTTATTGTCTAAGCCACAAAAAAAAAAAAAAAAAACACAAAGTAATCTCTCCCCCAGACATCCAGACCTCATTCACAGATCACAGGGCACATCGCTGAGGTCTTCCCTGAGCATCCTACTACTTGATACAGCACCACTGAACCCCACCGCATCAGCCTTCCCTATACTCTTACTCTGCTTCATTTTCCTTGAAACTCATATTTGTTAATTGACTGTTTCCCCCCAAAAAAGAAGAGAGAAATGTTTGTCTGCATCCCAAACATCAAGAATACTACCTGGTACACAGCAGGTCATCAGATATTGTCTGAACATAAAATAATGTTCCCATCGCATTTACCTCTTCAGGAGAGAAAGGACAGCATTCGCTGTGCTTGAGTCTAAACCAGTTGTGGGCTCATCCAGGAACAAGATGGATGGATTGGTAATAAGCTCCATTCCAATACTAGTCCGTTTTCTTTCTCCTCCAGACACACCGCGAATAAACTGAGTTCCAACCTAACACACAAATGTTATCATGATTACAAAAACAACCAAGAGGCACTCTATCTCAAATCCTCATTTATTCTGAACAGCAAATAAATGAGTATGTGGGAGAAGAGGTGGGATTCTCTTTACTTAGACAAGTAAACTGAGCCTCAGGTTAGAGCTGGTATGTGGCTAAGCGTGATATGAAGCCCATGCTTTAAACAGTTCTATGTGTTCCTTATCAAGTCAAATATTTAGTTTTAAAATGAGAAGTTAGAGATTAAATACAGGGCCCTGACAGTGAAATCACAGTCCAAAAAGGGATAATAATAGGAGAGGGATAGGTGAAAGCATCTATAATTTATTAGTCTTCTAATGTACTTACATTTCTCTCCCGCCAAAAAAATCCTCAAGTGGACTCACAAGAAGAGCTGGGCCTTGGCAGCTAAGAAAGTGCACTTTCTACCATCCACATTAGCACCTCCTAAATCACTGTAAGGCCTCCCAAATCGACCCTGTCTCTACCCTACTCATAGCAGAATTCCTGACCCCTTCTTTCAGGCAGATTCAGAAGGCAGAACAAGTGACTGGCTCCGTCTTTCCAACGAGTCAGTGTCACTGAGTGTGGTGGGGGAGCAGGAAGGTTTGGGAGGAAGCAGGAGGTGGGAAACAGCTCTTCTAGTAAGAGTCTTCAAACAGAGAATAGTCAAAGGCTACTCATGCCCTTGATTAGATCCCATAATGATAGAGCTATAAAAGGCATTTTGAAACTATTGGAAAACTGTGAAAAAATATGGACTCTATATAGCTAATATTAAAATATTAATTTTGTTAGTTGGTAATGATATTGTAGTCTTGTAGACAAATGTCCTTCTTTTGTAAAATAAAAATATGTTTTCAGAGGCAAAAAATGATATTTATAACTTTCCTTAAAGAAAAACCTGAAGCCAGGATTGAATAACTCAGTATCAACTGGGAAATCTAGGTGAACGTTATTCACAATCATACCATTGCATTAATTATACTGCAGTCATGTCATTACTACAGTAATCAGACCATTCTCCCTACATGTCTCTTATGTTTAAAATTTCATAACAGGTAAAACATCTTTAATCTATTGTTTTGATCAATTAGATAAATAAATTCTTGGCAGTCAACAACTGCCTTCAGCTCATGTTCCCTGGAAATCCATGCAAGGGACCCAGGCAATGAGAGCCTAATGGTAGAGGCAGGAAAGCACCTTAGTGGAAAGACAGAATCACATAAACAGAGCCCCAGCAAAGGGAGCCCACTCACTCATAAAATGAAAATAAGTGGCTCAGACTTATTCTTCAAAATAAAATACAGCAAAATACACTTTACATAAAGTCTGTCAGAAGCATCATATGAAGCAGCAGCCAGCAGAATATCCCATCACCTTTGAGTAGGGGCAGCCCAGGGAATTAAACTAGAGCCATGACAACGTGAGAAGCTCATCTCCACCCAAAACTTCAAATGTCTTCCCAGAAAATCTTCCACGTCTACTCATCAACTGTAAATCGTTCCCTCACTCATCTCATTTCCCCTTCCTGATCCTGCACAAACCACACAGGGAGCTACTTTGGTGTCTCTTGCCCACAGCTGTTACCTGTAACACCCAAGGGAGCCCGGCACACGGCAGTCTGTAAGCTACACTGGCACAAGAGAGGGAGGGAGGGAGGAGGAGGCGGGAGGGGTGGGAGACAAAGTGCCCTAAGAAGGGCTATAGGAAAACAACTTGGGCGCTACACAAATTAGAAGCAAATGCTAATTGGACTGAAAATAATGTTGGAAGCAAAATTACAGCAAAGTGAAACATATAGAGCAATAGCCATGGGATTTTCCTCATTTATGAATTCCAGAAATATACCTCCAAAGTAACAGGACAAAGTCCCCTGGAGGAAGAGAGGAAGGCTAGCTAAAAAAGGAAAGAGAAAACAAAAACAGGAAAGTTAGTGAACAGATACTGAATGAGACAGGACTTAACACAATTAGTGTGGGGGCGGAGCAAGCACTGTCATCACAGGGAAGTGGAGCCTGGTCTTTGCAAGAGCACGTTTACTTACCAGCCCACACGGCCACACTTCACCTGCAGGATTCAGTCATTTTCATTTTCTTTTCCTGGTTAATTTCCACCTTCATATTATGCAGCTAGTCACTTCTCCCATCGTTACAGAAAGCAGCCACTTATGACCACACACACATTATAGAAACTTTCAAATAAGAGTAACACCACCCACCCAGGGGAGGGCCTATTACCTTGGAATCTGCCACTTTAGCCAGGCCTAACTCTTGAATGACCAAATTTATTCGTTCATTTTTTTCACGATTACTCATAGTTGATGGAAGGCGAAGAGCTGCTGAGAACTGCAAATTTTCTCCCACTGTCAGTGTTCCCATCACAACATCATCCTTAAGGCAAAAAGGCATTTTAACAAGACATATCAGGTCTTTTCAAGTAACATCAGTCGTCAGTATGTACAACTTAATCCACAAAAATGACATACCCAAGGGGAAGCTCTAGTTAATGATGAACTCATAGTTATACAAATATAAAAATAACTCCATATACAGATAGCTACAAAGCCTGGAGGAATAATTCTCATTCCCTAACTGTACACCCAAATAGAACACAGGTGATTAGGATTACTACTAGCAGACATTTCCAGACTGCTTTACACAAACATTTGTCAAAAAACTTTTCTAAACTAAGGGAAGGAGAGAGTTAAAGGTAGGGGAAAAGTAAAACAGTAGCATCTTTTGGAAATATGACAACTAGAATTGGTATTATTGTCCTTATAAGGTTCATTTTCTAGATTCTCCCTGCCTTTTCATTTAACACTATTCTATATCTTATGGAAGACTTAAAAAGCTGGTATTTTTTAAAAAGCCGGTTCTAGGCTCATGTCATGTAATCAATGGAAAGCAAACTGAACTCCAGCAAGGCACTTGCCCACAGAAAAGAGGAGAAATCTAAAANCAAACTGAACTCCAGCAAGGCAGTTGCCCACAGAAAAGAGGAGAAATCTAAAATGGAAATGGACCAATACTTACTTGTACCACATAACCTGAGTTACATTTGAAATTGGCAGGTCGAGGGGCTCCGTTTATCAAAACATCTCCAGATAATCCCTGTGGATCTTTCCTTGCAGCTAAGATATCTAACAACCTGTAAAAGGACATATATGGTGTGTTTTTCTCCAACTCAGGTTATATCTCTCAGCCACTCTGAATGCAAATTCTGTTCAAGTTAGAAAATAAAATGATCAAGAAATTCTACGGTAGAACTGTAACTACATTTTTTTTTTTTAATTCCCAAGTTCCTTTTTCTAACTCTGTGCTACAATAAAGCCCAAAAACAAGAAAACAAAGCATTGTTGGCTGATCCAGTATNTCCAGCAAGGCAGTTGCCCACAGAAAAGAGGAGAAATCTAAAATGGAAATGGACCAATACTTACTTGTACCACATAACCTGAGTTACATTTGAAATTGGCAGGTCGAGGGGCTCCGTTTATCAAAACATCTCCAGATAATCCCTGTGGATCTTTCCTTGCAGCTAAGATATCTAACAACCTGTAAAAGGACATATATGGTGTGTTTTTCTCCAACTCAGGTTATATCTCTCAGCCACTCTGAGTACAAATTCTGTTCAAGTTAGAAAATTAGCTGATCAAGGAATTCTATGGTTCAACTATAATTACGTATTTTTTTAATCCCCAAGTTCCTTTTTTTACTCTGTGCTACAGTAAAGCCCCAAAATGTGAAAACACAGCACTGTTGGCTGATCCAGTGCAGAACTCACAAACAGCCCTCCACTCTGCCTGACCTCTGGGATCACAACACAGGCAATGTGCTCCTTTACTGAGACTCACTCCATGATTACTCTGCTCCATCTCCCACTTTCACTGTCATCCCCTTCAATTTCCTCCCCATTAGCTCAAACCATAGCTGACAGCTGTATGCCAATCACCGATCACATCCTGGTAGTAAAGCTGACCAACAAGACTCCCTGCTCCTCAGGGCAGAACCACGGCTGGATGGCTGCATGTGATCCATAGCGCCTAGGCCCAGACCACACATGCAGCAAAGACTCAACTACTACCTGCCCCCGTAAAAGCCAGCTTTGAAAGCACATTAAACTGCAAGGGGAAAGCTTACTGATTCTCTGTTATACTCACGAAGATTTGCCTCCCCCTGTGGGTCCCAGAATGGCGTTGAGGCCGGGTCTCATGATCCCACTGCAAATGCAGAAACAGGCCGGTTTACTGGTTCTGGTTAAAACCAGTCCTAAACATTTAGGGTCTGCATTTAGTACACTCAATGCAAGTTGAAGAAATTAGACAGGAAATAAGCACAAACCAACTTTTAAAGGAAGAGAGAAACCAAAATGTCAATTAATACAAGTCTAGTATACAAAGGATGTCATCACTAGTCAGCACCTATAGGAAAAATGGCTCAGGTCTCTCTAAATTCCTTTCGATTATTTTCTAAACCACTTACACTTTTTGGAAAAGGGCACACAAACTTTCAAGGTTCCCTGAAGTAAAAGATTCTCCTGAAACATCTGTTACACTTACTTCTCTGACATAATGTAAAGTGCACCGCAGGTCTCGAGTAGTGATTGCTGAGAATTACTTCAGGTCGCCTGATCTGCTGCCCAGTCCAGTTCTAGATAATTAGGCAGTCGATGGGCTTCTAGAACCACCAGTATTAGTGCTCTCACCACTCAAATCTAGTCAGACCAAGGAACAATATATCTGAAGTAGAAATTCAACGACTGAAAAAAAGTACCTTGGGCATTAAAAAGAAAACCTCACCAGTTCCTAATGCTGACAAAATTCTTACTCCAGTTGTAAAAGTAAAACATATGCCCTGGGAAATTCTGTTTCGAAGGGGGAGACGCCACTTTCTATTGGGGATGACCTTTAGGGACGTACACACATGGCATGGACACTGCATGTTCCAAACAAATTCCGTAGATGACGGTGGGTAGAGAATATTCAGACAGAGGAGGAAGGTAGGAAAAAATTAAGGCAGAGTTGACTGTGCTGAGACTCTGGAAGAATGCAAACATGAATTTGAATTTCACCCCGAAGGCAACTGCTAGAATGGTTAGGAGAATGCGCTGGAGTAAGGAGAGGAAAGGGTGGGCCCACCGCAGCCACAGGGGCCTGATGCAATGGAGGCCTGAGGAAGCCCTTTGGAAACCCCGGCGTCCACGCCCATCTGTGTGGAATTGGGAGGTAAATCCAACTTTACTCCCCAGAGGACACAGGACCCATTCCCCTGGAAGGTGCAGAGCAGAAGGCTATTTCATTCCCAGACAATGACTTTCACGGGGGCAACTACTCGCATTATACAGCTCTGGTGAGTGACAAACTTCACAGTGCAGCTGTACACAGTGCTTCAGCCCAGGAGTCCTATGAGACTTATTGGGGTGAGCACTTAGTAACAGGCATACATGTCTAATCACCATGTTGTACACCTGAAACTAATATAATAGTATATGTCCACTGTAATTAATGAAAACAATGTGAAAAAATATTGACCCCGGTTTTATAAACCCAAGAATGCAAGTAAAGAATTCATCTACTGCAGGAATATGTTCTAATGAATCATAGAAAAAACATGATGAAGCCTTGAGCAGATGACACTTTTAGTGTCCTGAGTTACTAATCTACTGAAACATAAGCAAGGTAAATGAACACTCACCCAGTATGCAGTTGAAATCCATCCAACCTGCACATATTCAAATTATTCGTTACCTTCCACTTAGCACAAAATCTGAAGTGACCAACATTTTCTTGACTGTAATGTTCCACAAAAACATTGTTAGCTTTCAAAAAGGTCAGCCACTTTTATCTAGGCATGTAGCAAAAGATAAAAGCTTTGTGCCTATCTTCCTCTCCTTACTTTCCTGGTCAGGGTTTCTTAACCAATACCAGAAAGCAACAAAGAAGTAGGCATGACTGTATGTGTTGCTGCCTGAAGAAAGTTCTATCCAATTCTACACAGACCCTGATCTCACCACCACTCAATCAATACCAGGTCCCTGTCCTTTCTTCCCCAGCCACATGGAAAAATTTTCTCCCTGACTGGTCATTTCCTAGGCTTTTGGGAGCACTTAGCTGCTACTAGCAGAAAAGACCACTTTGGATTTCCACTCCATAACTTAAGCTAAGTTAGTGTTTTATTTAGTAGTTTCTGTCTATCTATATAATGTGGGAAAGCATTAGGTAAATTGTTACAGATGATAAACGACTATATAAACAGGCCACTAAATTAAAACAAGTCTATTTGAAAACCAGAGGACTTTCACAGTATATTGTCTTTTCAACCTCCTAACTCTTGCTTCTAGAGCATAAAGGCTATAAATTGCATACCTAAAGTGTTTGACTCAAAACATACAGTAACAGATCTTTTATTTCACAGACTAGAATAATGAAGCTCACAGACTACAATTCTGTCCCCATAATCGGGAAGTTGTAAGTCACACAACCAGTCCTCTTTCCACTAAACCAGAAGGCTTAGCCCAGCAAAAACTAAGTGACACATTAATTATTCAGTTTCTCAAACAAATGTTGATGCACATGATATAACCACTTTAAAAACAGTTTGGCCATTCTTTTAAAAATTAGGCTTATACCTAACATGTGATCCAACCATTGCACTCACAGTTGAGGAAAACAAACAAAAGTATGTGTCTATGTATCTGTAAAGATATGTACACAAATGTCCATGCACCTGTACAGTGGTGCCTCTGTTTTCGAATGTCTCTGCTGACGAACATTTCGGGTTAGGAACCCCGTAAACCCTGAAGGAAATGCTTCGGTTTCCCAACACACTTCGGAAGTCGTACATGCCCCACGGCTTCCACTGAGGGCAAGGCCCTGAGGCCCAGCTGTCGGCTGTGGATCCCTCGGTTTTCAAATGTTTCAGAACTCGAACGGTCTTCCAGAACAGATTACATTCGAAAACCCAGGCACCACTGTACTTGTAAGAGCAACACCTGTGAAGTTCACTGCTGTCAATAAAGTTACTGAAACAAAAGTTCATGCACATACTTGATATTCATCAGTATTTCTTTCTCAACTGTTTTCCGACTAAGTAGAGAGCCACTCTTCACTTTCACTCGATAGCAGATGTTACGAAAACTTAACACAGCTCCCTCAGTAAACGTCTTCTGGTCTTTGGGGATCATCCCGGGGAGGCCATCGGTGTTTGTTTGTGACATTTGTATAAAAACTTGGTCATTACTGGAAGACATGTGGAAGAGCTTCTGCCTTTCTGTAGAGGGAAAAGGAACAGTAAGTTCATAGTCCAGAAAATGAGATTGTAAATACTAGGTAATAATATACTAAAACCAAGTCTGCTTTGTTACAATCTTCCAATTATAAAAGAAGTAAGTCCTGGGGATGTAATGTGCAGCATGGTAAGTATAGTTAACAACACTGTATTATCTGCTTGAAAGTGGCTAAGAGATCTTTAAAGTTCTCAGCACAAGAAAAGAAATACTTGTAACTGTGTGATGATGAACATTAACTAGGCTTATTGTGGTGACCATTTCACAATATATACAATCTTTGAGTCATTAATGTTGTACTCCTGAAACTGTTATATGTCAATTATATCTCAATTAAAAACAGTAAAAAGAATAGAGATCTAAATCTTAAAAAAATGTAAAATACCTCATTAATCATTTTTATATTGATTACATGTTTGAGTAAAAAGATTTTGGATTTATTGGGTTCAATAAGATATATTAACATTAAAAACAAGTCCATTTTAAACTGCCCTGAAATACATAGCTCAATTTCCAATGAACAGTCCATATCACTGTGATAAGAAAAACCTTGGAACTCCTATCAGGGAGGCAGACACAACTCCGAATACATAAACTCCAACTAGATATCAATTACATATCTAATAAGTGAATAGTGTATGAAAATTACTCAAAACTTATGAAACAGGAAAAAGATGAGAGGGAGTTATACCTGTTTAGCTTGAAAAGAATATTATTATATGATTCAAGATCAGGGAGAGACTACATGATCACCTTCACCTCCTATTATTGTTTTTTATATTTGGGGGGCTGTAATTTTAAAATCTATCACATAGGCATTTCAAAAGAAGGCTTAGCCAGGCAATTAAGGACAAGAGAAATTTCTCTGAATCTATAGCTCCAAGCTTTATATCACTGCATATAATGCTCCTCCAATCAGCTAAGAAAATAAACTTCAAAATTGTTTGAAATGGCACATTACTTAATGGGTGAACATATTTAAATTCCAGGAAGATTTAGAATTAAGTATAAAAACGATTAAGAAAATCAAACCAGCCCTGGCTAGGTTCTCAGTGGTTAGAGCCTGGCCATGCTATGCCAAGGTTGTGGGTTCATCCCCAGGCAGGGCACACACAAGAATCAACCAATGAATGCATAAATAAGCAGAACAGCCCCGGACAGTGTGGCTCAGTTGCTTGGGTGTCCTCCCCTGCAGAGAAAGGTGCCAGTTCGATTCTGGTCAGGGCACATGCCAGGGTATCCCATCTGATCATCAGTTGGGGGACGCCGGAGGCAGCAGCTCACATCAATGTTTCTCTCTCTCTCTCCTTCTCCCTCCCTCTTTCTCTAAAAATGAATAAAAAATATTTTTAAAAAATAAATGGAACGACAAATCGATGTCTCTCTCTCTCTCTCCCTCTAAAATCAATTGTTTTAAAAATCCTCACCTGAGGACATTTTTTTCATTGCTTTACAGAAAGAGTGGAAGGGAGAGAAAGAGAGAGTAAACATCAATTGGTTGCCTCCAGCACCGCGGGTGGGTCGAGCCTGCAACCCAGGTACATGCCCTTGGTCACAATCGAACCCAGGAGCCCTACAAGTTCTCCAGGGGATGCTCTAACCACTGAGCAAATCAGATAGGGCTAAAATCAATAAAAAGGAGGAGGAGGGGGAGGACGGGGAGGTGGAGGAGGGCGGAAGAGAGGGAGGAGGTCCATGTATACAAGGGAATATTACTCAGCAATAAAAAAGAATGAAACCTTTCCATCTGCAACAACTTGGATGGATCTCTGGAGGGTATTATGCTAAGTCTTTCATATTCAGTATCAAATTAAACTCGGAGGAACTAACTAGAACCTAGTCATCTCAGCCGAACAGTTTTCTATTTTCTACCAAATGTACTCCCAACACCCACCGACCGTCCAAGCCACAGGCGTCCCAAAGGGCAGTCACCACTCACTCAGCAGGTCAAGGGCTCGGGTCTCAGGTCCATGTGGTCGGCGGCAGGCACTAAAATCAGCCCTATGAGCGCGGAGGTGAGTCCGCCAGCCCTTCCCCACCTACCTAAGGAAGCAGGTCCTACTTCACAAGGACGGCGAGCATTTGTACTGTGCTTTCCGACGTGAAGCTTCTCCAAATCTCCCGGCTCCTGTCCAGGGGCCTCCTTCCTGCGTCTCCCAGTCTCTGCGGGAGGATCCTGGGCTCCCCCTTCCCTCCTGCGCGCTCGGGACTCGGTCTGTAACCGGGGACTCGGGACCGAAAAGCCCGCAGGAGGCGGCGTCCCGGTACCAACGCCCACGGCCCCGCGGACAGCCCGCCAAACGCGCCGCGCGCTCCCCGCGGGCCCAGCGCTCACGCGTGTGGGGACACCCGGCGAGGT